CTTCCAAAATGGTAGAGGATGGGAAATATCTGCTTTTAAGGATTTTGCTCACCAACAAGTCAGGATTAACAGTTATTCTCCAAAGCTGTTTACAAATGAGGGCCTTGTTGAACAGCAGCACATCTTGGAAGCCCAAGCCACCTTCACTTTTGGGAATAGTTAAAGAGTTCCATGATTTCCAGTGTAGCCCTCTGTCATTTGAATCGCCCTTGCTCCACCAGAAAAGTGCACACAGCCTTGATATTTCTTTGACTACAAGTTTGGAATTGAAGCAAGCCATGGTGAACAGAGGCAAGGCATTAAGAACAGCCTTTATCAAGACTTCTTTTCCAGCTGCAGATAGGAGTTTGTTTTTCCAGCTTGTGAGCTTTGATCTGACTGCTTCCAAGACATAGCCAAAAGCTTCCTTCTTAGATCTTCCTATGCCTAAGGGTAGGCCCAAATATCTGCTGGATTGGTGCATTTTGATGCCTTGAAGAGCTTGGCAGATGTTGTGTTGCAAGGGTAAAGGAGTGTTCTTGCTAAACATGATTGTGGATTTTCCCATGTTCACCTTCTGTCCTGTGAAAAGTTTGTACCTCTCCAGAATTGAAGTTAGAATGTGGACTTGCTCAACCTCAGCTTTGCAAAAACATAAGGTATCATCTGCAAAGAGCAGATGAGAAAAGCTAGGCCCATCCCTTGAAATTTTCAAGCCTGTTAGAGTTCCTTTGTTGACAGCATCTTGAATCATGGCAGAAAGGAGTTCAGCAATAATAATGAACAAGTATGGAGATAAAGGATCACCTTGACGAATTCCTCTGGTAGGATGGACAAAACCCCCAGTAGCCCCATTAACATTAAAAGAGAAAGTGGCAGTGGAAATACAGGACATAATCAGCTTGATGAATTTCAAATCAAAACCCATTTTCACCATAATCTTATGAAGACTCTCCCATTCAACCCGGTCAAAAGCCTTCATAAGGTCAAGCTTGATGGCCATAAAATAATTTCTACCAGTTCTATGTCTACTAAGAAAATGGAAGGCCTCATGGGCTATGATAACATTATCCAAGAGTTGCCTACCCTTAAGAAAAGCTGACTGGCTGTCATTGATACAAAAATCAAGGCATGATTTCAAACCTTTGGGCCAAAATTTTAGACAGAGTTTTGTAGATAACACTACAGAGACTAATTGGCCTAAAATGAGAAAGGGACTCAGGATTCTGACATTTGGGGATTAAAGTGACTAAGGTGTGATTCCAGTATTGCAAGAAAGTACCTGAATCAAAGAAACTTTTAATAGCTGCCATCAAGTCAGTCTTTATGATGCTCCAGAAGCTTTGATAGAATAAAGCCTGCATTCCATCTTCACCAGGTGACTTCTCAGCTGGGAGGCTTAAAAGAGCAGAGTGAATCTCATCATCCTCCACTTGTGAGAGCAGCTTTTGATTCATTTCCAAAGATATAGTGGTTGGAATCAGTTGCAGAAGTGTGTCTCCACCAATTGATCCTTCTGAGGTAAAGAGATTGCTATAAAAATCAGAAATATGGTCTTCAATCTCAGAATTCTCTGTGAAAATGTGATTATCAGCATCAATGAGCCTAGTTATTGAATTTTGCTTTCTTCTGAGTCTGGCATAGGCATGGAAGAACTTGGTGTTGGCATTGCCCTTCTTCCACCATAAGATTTTAGCCCTTTGTTTCCAGAACAGTTCTTCTTGATGATGGGCCTCATTGAGATCATTCCTCACCTTTTCCCATTCTTCCCATTTCTCCTCTCTGCCTTCCTCTCTAATCTCCTCCAATCTCTTAGTCAGGTTTGTGATGGCCCTCTGGTTAGTGGATTTGAATTGAGAACTCCAAAGAAGGAGGGCTATTCTTGTTTCTTTGATTTTCTCCTTCAAGATAAAGAAGGGAGTGCCTGACTGAGGTTTGGCCCATGCTGTGCTGACTACTTCATTGATACCCTCCATTTTGAGCCATCTACTGTCAAATTTGAATCTGCTTTTGAGCCTGGGTTGAAGATTTCCACTGTCCAAGATGATCATTGAATGGTCTGAGGCACTTCTAAGGTGATTCAAAATGTAAGCATTTTGGTTGGCTTCTAACCAGGCTGAGGAAGCAAACCCTCTGTCCAATTTTTCCTCCACATAGCCTTCTGCTGTCCTGTTGTTAGCCCAGGTGTATTGGTAGCCTTTCATATGAATCTCTTCCATTTGCATGCTGGCTATGAATCTGTGGAAATCCTGAAAACTGCTTTTAGGCCTTTGTCTTCCTCCTTTCTTGTCCTCTTGATAACAGATGTCATTCCAGTCACCCATAACTAGCCATTTATCCCCCCAGACATTTTTATCCAAGATCAGTTGTTGTCTCTGAGCTTCTCTTGTGACTTTCTCTGTATTCATATAAACAAAAATGGCCCAAGAACTGCTATCTTCATTCAGACTGTACTCAACTGCAATATAGAATTCTCTACAGACCACCTGGATAACATTAACCTCCATTTTCCAGAACAAAACCATGCCTCCACTGGTACCTCTGGGATCAACTATTGAACACCTATCATCAAAACCCAGCTTTTTGCTAACCGCCTTCACAAAGGAACTTTGTTTTTTTGTTTCAAAAAGAAAAAGAAAAAAAGGATGGTGAGCCTTACAGGACTCTTTGATTTGGGAAACTGTAGAGGGCCCACCCAGCCCTCTACAGTTCCACACCGCAGCTAACATTTGTCACTCGGGTGCCATTCTAGGCTGGCAACCCCCACCTTGTCAGAAGATGATTTGAGTTTTTTGCTGTCCTTTTCAGGTTGATTATGAGCCTTGGCTTCAGGATAGGATTGCTGCTGTTCTTCTCTGGCTCTCTTGCCTGGAATGGAGGAAGGGTCTCCAATGACTATTTGATCTTGCCTTTGTAACCTACCAGCATTGTGAGCAGATCTTTTCCAAGTCTTGCCTTTAGTATTCTGGTTTTCAGTAGTAACAGATAGGGTAAGAGGAATTTGAGGTAGAATGGGTTCAAGCTCCATGTCTTGGGTTCTGGAAGAGCTGCCTTTATCTGGGCACATAGAAGGAGAAGTGAGGATATGGTTGTTTGAACTGGGTGTGTGCTTGATAATCTGGGAGTTAGGTGTGGGTGTAGGTATTGTTTCCTGGGAAGATTTAGCTTGTAAAGGAATGAGTTGATTGTTATCAGCAACATGACTGGTAGAGTTATTTAAGGGTGCTGTTTGAGGAGATGGAGAGGTAGTATCATTGTGGTGAGGACTTCTAGAACCTGAGGAGTTCATTCCTGACCAATTCTGAGCTTCCTGTGCGCGCAGCCAATCCCCATATTGTCCCTCTTTCACTGACTTAGCTTTGATATCATCCATCCTTTTAGAGCACCCTCTGTCCAAGTGTCCTATGTGTCCACAATAGTGGCAAAGGTTTACGAGCTTTTCATACTTAAAACCAACACTTACTGCTTGGTTATTCAGTCTAATATTTGCACATCTAGGCAGAGGTTCATTGATGTCAATAGAAACCAAAAGGCGCATTAGTTTACCTCCATGGCTACCAGCTCCCACTACTACCACGTTGTCGACATTATTGAAGACTTTCCCAATTTTAAGCCCAACATCCGTGCTGAGCCAGTTAAGAGGCAGATTGAATACTTGGACCCAGAGCTTCAGTTCTGAGAAAACTGGATGTGCCCGTGACAGCCCTTCTTTCCATTCCGATAAAATTAGGTATTGATTGTCTAAAATCCAGTTTGTTCCTTTGGCGACTCTCAGAAGATCCTCTCTACTTTGAAAAATGAATTGGAAGTAGTTTGGGCCAAGTTCTTTGACGTCCATTGTGCCTTGTAATCTCCAGATACGGCTCATTGTGCGATTCATTCCCAGCCAGCTAGCTCGCCTATCGCCAATAACTTTTCCAAACAAGCTGCGATTACATTCATCAGCGCTGAGCTTGATGTCATCCTGTGCTATGTCAATGAAATTGTGCTCTTGATCTGATAGAAAAAATCCTTGCAATCGATTAGCTAACTCCTCGTCTTGCCCTATGCTCACCGGCGTGCCCATAAGGATAAATCTCCTCACAAATCAGTACGAAATTTTATAGGGGAAATTACATAACTTGGATAATGATAAAAGGAATCCTGAAGGGAATAATGAAGAAAATCCGAAGAACCAATCGAAGACCAAGATGCCCACTGAGAATCGCTCTCAACGAGAGAATTGGATCGCTCTCAACGAGAGAATTTTTCTTATTAGGGATTGAATTTGCAATTTCTACATAAAAAGAATATATTACCACTAACTAAAAAATAAAAAAGAAAATAATTTTCATCTCCATCAACATAAACATAAAGGGATTATGTTACCTCACAAGTCAATTGGACAAAAAATTGATAAGCTTTTTTATTTTTTTTTTCTCTCTTCTCCACTCTTCTTTCCCCTCTTTTCTATCGCAGTCCAGTCTCGCTCTCTGTTTCTTTTTCTCTTCTGTACTGAAAGGCTTCAATTAAATTTATGTTAGTGTTTAATATTTTTGTTAAATATATTAGCCCTGGGCCCTCTCTCACTCTGTACGTGAAATTAAAAGGTTTCATAAATTGATGTTAGTGTTGAATTTTTTGTTAAATTAATTTAGCATTGGTTATTTCCATTTGGGCTAATTTACATGGGCTATATATATATAGGGGTTTTTTTTTCCAGTGTGCGCCTAGGCCCACACTGGTCCTCATTAGCCTACGCCCCTGCTCACTCTGTACGTGAAACTAAAAGGCTTCATAAATTGATGTTAGTGTTGAATTTTTGGTTAAATTAATTTAGCATTAGTTATTTCATTTGGGCTAATTTACATGGGCTATATATATAGGGGGGGTTTTCTTTTTCAGTGTGGGCCTAGGCCCACACTGGTCCTCATTAGCCTACGCCCCTGTTCATATGTATTCCAATAGCGTAAACCACTTATTATTGGAAATTTCCTTCTTTGATGCTAGCACTCATTTCTAAAAGCTTTGCTATCATTCAGACAACAAGACTATCATTTAATGGGGATACAAACACCACTCAGGCCCAAATTACTGTTCCGGGACCGCCAGCACCACTGGCACCTCCACCACCGCCGGTAGTATAAATTTGGCGATTCGTTCAGTGGGACTTGCTAGGTTTGTATTACTTTTTTGCATTGTTTGTTACGATTTTAACAGTTGTGCCTTAAAATTAATAGTGAGTTAGAATCTCACCCGTGCTTTCCTCCACAAAGGTGATAGTATTTATTTTAACAGTTGTGCCTTGAAATTAATTGCCTTCTTATTTTTTATTTTTTTTTGTTTTTATTTTTTATTTTTTTCGTTGTAAAGATTTGTATCTTTCTAATATCTGATAAATGTTGTGGTATCGTCCCAAGATCATACTCATAATTGAGAGAAAAATAAGTTTCTATTACTCACAAGAATAAAAACAAGAGATTAACAAACTCTAAACAAAAACATTCCGCCCTATCTATGGACTGGTTAGGGTAAGGAAGGAACTTCCCGGCACGCAAGAGTACGTTGAAATCTTCGCTAAGACAATGGCTCAGGCTCTGAAAGACCAGTATCCCGACTGGCAGCTAAACTCTCAAACTCTCCCACAACTCTACTTGGTTGTGTTTCAACACTCTCAAGGTTGATTGATCACACTCTTGGATGATTTGAATGAATGAAATATGCAACCTATTTATAGCCATGAATTAGCACACCACCATTGACAAGATGTGTGTGAAAGTGGAAGGTTGGTGGAGGCTTCTTCTTCAATGGTGTGCCATTGATTGGTGGGCTTCAACTTCTTCATTGGTGTGCTTGCATGGTTGCATGGAACTTTCAATTCTCCCCTTTCCATTCAAGTTCTGAACAAGCATTCCTACTATGTCTCTGCATAGCTTAAGCTTATCCAGTGTAACCACCTTTGTTAACATATCTGATGGATTCTCCTTCGTATTGATCTTCACTAGTTTCAACAGCTGTTGATCAATCTTCTCGCGTATCCAGTGATACCGAACATCAATATGCTTTGTGCGGGCATGGTACATAGAGTTCTTGCTTAAGTCAAATAGCACTTTGACTATCACAATATACCTTGTACTCTTTCTGCTTGATCCCAAGTTCATGGAGATAGCGCTTTAGCCACAACATTTCTTTACCAGCTTCAGCGGCAGCAATATATTCAGCTTCTGTTGTGGATAAAGCAACACATTTCTAAAATCTTGATTGCCAAGAAATGGCTCCCCCTGCAAAAGTGTAGACATAACCCGAAGTAGACTTTCGACGATCAATATCTCCGGCCATATCAGCATCAGTATATCCTTCCAAGATAGGATCAGCTCCACCGTAACAAAGACATAACTTAGAAGTACCCTTCAAGTATTTGAGAATCCATTTGACTGCCTCCCAATGCTCCTTCCCGGGGTTAGAAAGAAAACGACTCACTACACCCGCTGCATGAGCAATATTTGGCCTGGTACATACCATTGCATACATCAAACTTCCAACTGCTGAAGAGTATGGCACTGCAGACATCTCCCCCACCTCTTCCTCGGATGTGGGACATGATCTTTTGCTCAACTTGAAATGATTCGCAAGTTGAATACCCACTGGTTTGGCATCACTCATATTGAATCTTTCAAGTACTCGTTCAATGTACTTCTCTTGAGACAGCCATAACTTGTCGTTCTCTCGGTCTCGAGTAATCTGCATCCCAAGAATCTGTTGAGCCTTTCCTAGATCTTTCATATCAAAAGACTTGGAAAGTTCTTTCTTCAGCTGACTTATCTTCTCTGCATCATTCCCAACGATCAACATGTCGTCGACGTACAGTAGAAGAACTATGAAAGCCCCGTTTGAGTATCTCTTGAGGTAAACACACTCATCTGCAGTGGTCTTCTTGTAACCTTGACTCTGCATGCATGAGTCAAACTTCTTATTCCACTGCCTTGGTGCATGCTTCAGACCATACAAGCTTTTAGATAGCTTACACACGAGGCTCTCACTTGAAACCTCAAAACCTTCCGGCTGCTGCATATAGATTTCTTCTTTCAAATCTCCGTGAAGAAAAGCTGTCTTCACATCCATCTGTTCAAGCTCCAAATTCATACTTGCTGCCAAGCCAAGTATGACTCGAATTGAGGCCATCTTGACAACTGGTGCAAAGATCTCGTTAAAATCAATCCCTTTCTTCTGCTAAAAGCCTTTCACAACCAATCGAGCTTTGTGTTTCACCACTTGTCCATTTGCATCTTTCTTCAGCTTGAACACCCATTTGTTTTTCAAAGCCTTTTTCCCTTCTGGAAGTTTAACAATCTCATAAGTTTTATTTTTCTGCAGAGAATCTAATTCTTCCTGCATCGCAATCATCCATTTTTCTTTATCCTTATGAGATATGGCTTCTTGAAAACTCTCTGGTTCTCTATTTTCTGTCAATAGAAGGTATTCAGATGATGAGTACCTTTTCGATGGTATATGACCTCGTTCAGATCTACGAGTGGGTAGAACCATCTGAGAAGAACTTCCAACGTTGGTGTCTGGAAAAATGGGTTGTGGCTCCCCTTGCTCTGGCAAGATGGATTGTTGCTCCCCTTGCTCTGTCAAGATGGGTTGTTGCTCCCCTTGCTCTGCACTCTCTTCTGTCTCCTCGTCTCCTTCTGGTACATCATCTTCATTATTTCTCCGAACAATTCTGGTGCTTCATCTGAAACTTGAGCACCGACATTTGACTTCTGAGACATCTTAGGTTTCTCCATGTCTTTTATTGTCAAATTTTCTTGGAACACAACGTCCCTACTTCTGATCACTTTTTTCTCCTTTGGATCCCAAAATCTATATCCAAACTCTTCATCTCCATAACCAATGAAAATGCATGGGATTGATCTCGCATCGAGCTTCTTTCTGAGCTCTTTGGATACATGTGCATATGTTACACAACCAAATACTCTCAGATGTGAGTATGTCGAATCCTTACCAGTCCATATTCTCTCTGGAACTTCAAAATTTAATGGAACTGAAGGTGATCGGTTGATTAGATAACATGCGGTCTTGACAGCTTCCCCTCAAAATGGCTTTGGTAATTTAGCCATATTCATCATGCTTCGGACACGCTCCATGATAGTCCGATTCATTCTTTCAGCAACGCCGTTGTGCTGAGGGGTACGTGGTACTAACTTCTCATGTCGAATGCCATATGTAAGACAATATGCATTGAACTCCTTTGAAGTATACTCGCCTCCATTATCAGATCGGAGACATTTCAGCTTCTTTCCTGTTCACGTTCCACCATGACGTGAAATGACTTGAAGTACTCGAACACCTGGTCCTTCGTATTCAGGAAATATACTTACACCTTTCGAGAAGCATCATCAATGAAAGTCAAAAAGTATCTGCTTCCACCAAGTGATTCAACCTCCATGGGACCGCAAACATCAGAGTGTACCAAGCTTAACAACTCTAATCTCTTTGTTGAATTGGCATTGAATGAGACTCTATGTTTCTTGCTGAACAGGCAATGACTGCAAGAACCCAGCGCAACACTCTTATCAACCTTGATAAGATCCTTCTTCATCAGGGTAGTCAACCCTTTCTCACTCATATGGCCAAGTCTTTGGTGCCATAGATCCTGGGAAGCCTCCTCTGCAACATTGAGACTTTCTGTACTGATCTTCAAATGTGTTTTGTACAGCGTCCCACAAATGTCCTCGGGCAATTTTCAAAACACCCTTTGACAACTTCCATGTGCCTACACCAAAGTGATTTTCATATCCTTCTTTGTCAAGAGCCACCACTGACAAAAGATTCAGTCTAACATCTGGCACATGTCTAACATCCATTAATAGGATTGTACTCCCGGTTCCTGTCGTTGCCTGGATATCATCAATTCCGGCAATATTAGAGGAACTAGAATTTCCCATCTTCACCGATCCAAAGTCTCCAGCTTGGTATGTTGTGAAGTATTTCCTGTTGGGAGTAACATGATAAGATGCTGCAGTATCTACCACCCATTCCATGTCTTCTCGTGAAACATGAAGGCATGTCTCACCATGGGTAGAGCAATATGCTACTTCCCCTGAGACAGTGATAAGAGTTTCACCACCCTTGCCCTTGTTCTTCTGCTGAGAACTGTTCTTCGGCTGAGAATTGCTTTTGCCCTGCTCCTCGAACCATTTATAGCAATTCTTCTTCATATGACCTTCTAGACCACAATGATAGCACACATGTGATCTCCGATCATCTGATTGTCTCCCCTTGCTTCTACCCCTGCTCTTTCCTCTACCGCTTTTTTGTTGCTTGCCTTGTGGTCTTCCTCGATTCTCCATTACAAGGGCATGGGTCTGATCTGTGCCCATGGCTTTCCTTCTTTCCTCTTCATTGAATAAAGCATCCTTGACAACGGACATGGAAAGTTTGCCGTTCGAGGCTGAATTGCTGAGAGTAACAACGAGTGTTTCCCAGCTATCAGGAAGGGAACTAAGAAGTAGCAGAGATTGCATTTCATCTCCAAGCGGCATCTCCACACAAGATAGCTGATTTACCAGGCTCTGGAACTCACTGGTATGCTCGGCAACAGAAGTTCCACTTTTCAACTTCATATTGACTAAGAGTCTCATCAATAAGGCCTTATTTCGAGCGGTCTTGGCCTGGTACATGTCCTCCAGCTTCCTCCAAAGGACATATGCGTCGGTTTCTTGTGCAACATGATGGAAGACACTATGGTCTATCCATTGTCGGATTTGACCAATAGTTTTTCTATTGATTTTCTTCCATTCTAAGGCCTTGGACGGATCAGGGTTAATACCCACCAGCTCTATTGGGTCAAAGAGCTCTTTACATCTGAGGAAATCTTCCATCCGAGGTTTCCACAGTGTATAATTGGTAGCCGTGAGCATAATCATAGCTCCAGAAGATGAAGTTGACTCTTCTATGGCCATTTTACACCTTCAACGATCTGTTTGGGACAAATCGGAGCTGAATTTCAAAAAATAGACAACACCGTTGCGTCCGAAACAGTCAAAAATGGAGTTTTTTTTTTTTTTTGGATGACATGGCAATTGACCGATGACGTGGCGGTTGACTGGATGACGTGGCTGCTGACTGGGACCAAGTTGCTGATGTGGCTGCTGACTGGGACCGCTGACTTGGCAAATGACTGGACTGCTGATGTGTCAGCTAACTGGGTTCTCCTTTCTGACGTGTCGATGACGTGTCAGATGATGTGGCGACGTCATCATCTTCTTCGTCTAGATTTTTTTTTTTTTTCAAAATTTTAGAAGGCTATAACTCTCAACTCCGGTGTCCGTTTTTTGCCCATAAGATACCGCTGCGACCGTCTCGACGAGACGAATCTAACGTTGTCCTCGGAATCGAATTTCGAGCACAACTCAAAAACTCGAAATTTCTACAGAAGCTCGGAAAAAATTCAAAATTAAGCTTGAAAGCTTCAAACCAAGCTCTGATACCACTTGTTATGGTATCGTCCCAAGATCATACTCATAATTGAGAGAAAAATAAGTTTCTATTACTCACAAGAATAAAAACAAGAGATTTACAAACTCTAAACAAAAAACTCTCAAACTCTCCCACAACTCTACTTGGTTGTGTTTCAACACTCTCAAGGTTGATTGATCACACTCTTGGATGATTTGAATTAATGAAATATGCAACCTATTTATAGCCATGAATTAGCACACCACCATTGACAAGATGTGTGTGAAAGTGGAAGGTTGGTGGAGGCTTCTTCTTCAATGGTGTGCCATTGATTGGTGGGCTTCAACTTCTTCATTGGTGTGCTTGCATGGTTGCATGGAACTTTCAATAAGTAACTACTTTGGCAGGATCACTATGTTGTTGGAATGTTCTGGGAAGTTATTCAGAACCTTAGCGTGGCAAATCAGAGGAAATTTTTGAAGTATGGCCATATCATCGTTTACTGAAAATTTGCTTTGTGTGCCACATGCAACAGAAGAAACATAACTTGGTCATAATTTATATGATTTGATTACTAATTTGGTTTAGTAGTCTTATACACCATTCATTTGTCCATTGCAAATGGAGCTGGAAGAGTCATTGTTGACAATTCTCCTAGCATAGTGCTAATAATGGACTAGATTAAAATGGTTCAATTAAATTCTAGTGCTTCTTCTATTAGTGAAGTTTCTAGAAAAAAAATATATCAAACGGCGCAATGCATCTTGGGTCGCTACGGAAACAGCCTCCTTGTATAATACAAGGGTAAGTTCTGCGTACAACTGACCCCCCAGACCCCAACCTGTTGGGAATATACTGGGTATGTTGTTGTTGTTGTTGTAGTCTTATACACCATTCAACAGATCAAAGAAAAAAATGTGCAACATTTTCTTTTACTTTGTTTCAGTAGCTTACGTTTCTACTTTATTCCCTCACCTGTGAATAGTTCTTCATTTCACTGTAAGTGACATGTGTCTAACTAATGTGTTTAAACTTGGCCTTTTGGGACTTAAAATTTAGGTCTTAAGATCCTTTTATCTAATTGTAACGGGATGTCAGTAGAATTCATTCTCATTAAGTTATTCGGTCCACATAATGGTTCAACGTTAAAATTGTACTAAATTTTCATTGATAATTATTATCCAGCAAAAAAATATGGTATTTGGTCGCTAAATTACTCTTCAAATTTCAGATTACTGGTCTCGTGAACATTGCCTCGTTTTTCTATTGTCTCAGGTTTGCAACTGGATCTTCTCGTGGGCCTTTGCTTGGACCCTACATTCTGCACAAAATTGGATGCACAACCCTCAACCCCTTTGGGATGACACTTTCTGCGAATGGGTGATTTTAATTAATGCACACAACACCCAAAAATGTGGGGCAACACTCCAACACCAAAGGCTACACATCTTAGAGGGGAGTTTAAGGGGTTTAAATTGGGAACTAAAGCACCTGTCATCACTCATTTGTTGTTTTGCAAACGATTCCATCATTTTTTGTAAGGCTGACATGCATCATGCTTCTCTTGTTCTGAATATTCTCAATTCTTATAGTAATGATTCTGGACAATTTGTCAACCTGGATAAACTCCATTTCCTTTTCCAGAAACACTCATATGGATAAACAATCAGCCATCTGCTCTATTTTACATGGGATCACTAAAGTCCAGTCTTCTAGGTACTTAGGTCTTCCATTGGGGTTTGGAAAGTCTAAGAAAGAGGTCTTTAAATTTCTGATTGAGAGAGTGGAAAAAAAAAATTGGGAAGTTGGAAGAACTCTTTTTTGAGTGAAGCTGGCAAAGCAACACTTATGAATTCAGTTCTGAATGATATCCCTACTTTTGTTATGTCATGCTTTAAAGTTCCTATTTCTGTGGTGAAGGCTTCATGTCAGATCATTTCTAAATTTTGGTGGGCTCAAACTGAGAATAAATGGGAAAGGATTCACTGGGCAAAATGGGAGGTCTTGGATAAACCTAAGGAGCAGGAGGGTTTGGGATTTAAAGATTTGATTTCTTTTAATGATGCATTACTTGTGAAACAATTGTGGAGAGCTCACACCAATCCAAATTTGTTAGTGAGTAGGCTGTTGAGAGGGAAATACTTTTGGGGCAAAAAAATTGAGTGAACTTCATCCTAAAGGAACTGACTCTTGGTTATGGAGAAGTTGGTTGGGAGTGAGGGAGTCCTTTTTCTTATGAGTGAGATATGAAGTAGGGGATGGGCGGTCTATAGGTATTTGGGACTCTCCATGGCTTGCTAGAAAGACTGGGTTTAAACCAACTTGTCAATTTTAGGGGGATAGAGTGAGGTTGAAAAAGGTGAGTGATCTTATGTTAGAGGGGAACAAGGGGTGAGATAAGGAGTGTATTTTGAAATCATTTACTCCTTATGATGCAGGTCTGATTATGTCTATCCCAATCAGAAGGCTAGGCATCAAGGATAAACTGGTATGACATGGCAGCCCAATAGGGTCATTTTCTGTTAAGACAACCTATACAACCATTATGCATCACAAGCTCAAGAAAATCCAAGGTGCGGCCAGCTCCAGTAATAGTCAGGGGGAGTTGGAGAAGATTTGGAAAATTTTGCTGAAATTGCCAATTTTAAACAAAATCAAAACTTTTCTGTGGAGATATTGCTATGAATTCATTGGTGTGAAGACTCAGTTGAGAAAGAAAGAAGTCCCTGTGGATAGCATTTGTGATTGTTGTGGATTAGAAGAAGAAGAAGAAGAAGATTTGAGTCATGCCATTATTCATTGTGCTAAAGCTGCTCGGTGTTGGAAATTAAGTGGGCTACAATGGACTCAGATTAAAGAACAACAGACCAATATCAGAAGTTGGTGGTTTACAATTTATGCAGGGATCAAAGGAAAATTTAAAACTGAAAGGCTGAGTTTAACAGCTTACATTATGTGGGAACATTGGAAAGCAAGAAACACTTGGATTTTCAACAAAGTATGGATATCTTAGGAGAAAATTTTTGCTACGGCTCATGCAGGCTGGTGTGAATTTCTTGCAACAAGGAATAAGGAGGAGAATGGGTTGCCAGTAAGATTGGGGAACTCATTAAACCAAATGGACCAGTTTTGAGCTAGGGTAGGACAGTTCATTATGACTGTCAGTGCTCATAGAAATAGTGAAGGACAGATTGGCATGGGATGCATTGTTTATGAAGGCACAAAGTTAATTAAAACTTGGGTGCATGTTGTTTGAGCTAAAGAGAATTAGATGGGGATTGGAAATTGTTGAATGGTATGCCAGACTTTGTGTGTTGCATTAAAGAGCCTGACAAGCTGTGCATGTTACTTTCATAAGCTGAGAGTTTGGAAGATTTTAAAGATGTGGTGTTGGACATTAAACTCTTAGCCTATTCTCTGATGCGGTGCCCCTTTATGCTTGGTGCTGATCTGTGTTGTTCTAGTGATAGATTGGCCATTTTGGCTTTGCAAGGAGATGTCTAAGGACACTGCTGTATTGGGATACTCTGATCTTTGTGGATTAGTGTAGGTTCTATTTGCATCCAGTTGGATGTTCGGATTTGTAAAACTCTTTCATTGTGTTATAAAATTCCGTTATTG